CATGTCTTGCAAAGCGCTGTTCTTTTGCCATCTTGTTGTAAGAAATTCTTGAATCCGAAAGCGACGCCTCGTAGGCTATCCCTCCGGCTGACATGTTGTTGATGTGATCTGATGTAAGTGGGCGTGGGTGTGCGCGTAAGGTATGAGAGGGCATGACTGGATGATCTCTTGATCCAGTCATGACAGCGCTATTCTCAGCCTGCGCTCCAGCTGGATCAACTTTATTTTTTTACATAATTTATATATTTTATATTCAAACTGAAAACATGATGTGATTAACACTCAAGTCATATTATTACATGCAAGTGTGTTTGATTTATGGACCAAATTTTCAGATCAAGTTTATGGACCAAGTTAATTTAATTAATAAACTAATTATATAAAACTATTAATGCACTACAATTAAACTGGTTATATGCCTTACTTATAAAAAATAAAAAACTTATTTAAAAAATACCAGGCTTAAGGCATTTATTTTTTATGCAGGCCATACACACAGGAGTGAAATGGTTAAGACCCCTCCCCCTACAAACACACACACATACACAGACAGGCAAAGAGAGATGTAGGCTCAGATTGAGCAAGACCACATTCAAACAAACATATCTGACTTTCTGTGGGTCCTAGCTAATGAGTGTCAATTAGAAAGTTGTCCGGCTCGAGGAGTACAATATACATACCGATTTTTGTAACTGTAGATAAAACTAACAACCCCACTTTTGTCAAAAGGTGGCGCTACTGAGCCCTCACCACGCCCGTTTCTGAAACTTTGCACGTGTCTACTGGCTAATAAATGTGATGTGTCTGTCGAGTTTCATGCAATTTCAAGCATGCTAAGGGTCTCAAAAGCCATCCTAAAAGAATGTAACGTTTGATGCGTCGCCACGGCAACAGTTTCAAAGATATCAAGAATCCATTCACAGGTCTACATCTGCCGTATGTTTACATTATACAGATGACGTTTGAAGCAAATCGGGTAAAATAAAAGGGGTGATATCGAAGCATTTTGAAAGTGACACACTTCCTGCTGCCAGTTGGTGGCGCTATAACTTTGACTCACAATAGTCACATCCATGTGATCGTCCTCTTACAGCGAACACACTGCTGAAGTTTCATCAAGATCAGTTAATGTATGCTGAAGTTATAACACACTTCCTGTTTCACGTTTCTCGCCATGATTTCGTTTCCTCGCCACGGCCAAACCGTTCTCGAGATATAAAAAATCCCCTCGCAAACTTTCATCCTCAATGTCTTGACTTCATGCTGACCAGTTTTGTCGAATTTGGATCAAAGCTCTAGGAGGAGTATTTAACATTCCATTGCGGAGCGTTTTACAAACAACCTCAATAGCCGACTTCCTGTTGGCTGGGGTAAAAAGTAAAAGCGCGAGGTATAGATGAAACTATGAGATCAACATGTGCACCGAGTTTCATATTATTATATACAAACGTGTTTGAGTTATGGACCAAGTGTTCGGACCCGTTCCAGGGGGCGCTGACGAGCCGCCCTGCCACGCCCGGGTACCAGCTTCAGCCCGCTCTGATGGCCGCGGGTTCTGACCCATGTGCAAAGTTTCAAGAGTTTCGAGCACGTTAAGGCCCCAAAAATGCCCAAAAGGTTACAAAATAAATTAAATATAGCTGCGAGCAGCGATGGCGGGCCCAAGCCGGTGGCACCGCAACCCCGGTTCCTTTAGTTACCTAAAGGCACCGGGGTGGCGGTGTCGCAGGCTTTAGCCCTTTCATGATTAAATGAAATGTTAAAACAGCTTGCCATACTCTATCTGTCGTTTCGACTAGTCACAATTACATTACAGATATCTTAAATGATAATACAAACTATTCAAAATGTAATTAAGACTAGTCACTTTTGTCAAAAGGTGGGGTGTTGATATCTACAATGTTAATTCCGGATAGGCAAACTTAGCTTTTAAATGTTAAAAGGGCTTGCCATATAGGGACGTACAGTAGGCTCAGAGAGAGGCTCACCATATTCAATCCAAAATATCTGACTTCCTTTTGATCCAAACTAATGACTATGAATTAGAAAGTAGTCCGGCTTGAGGAGTAAAATGTATATACCGATTTTTGTAACTGTAGATAAAACTAACAACGCCACTTTTGTCAAAAGGTGGCGCTATTTAGTCCCTGCACCATGCCCGTTTCTGAAACTTTGCACATGTCTACTGTCTAATAAATGTGATGTGTCTGTTGATTTTCATGCAATTTCAAGCATGCTAAGAGTCTCAAAAGCATCCTAAAATAATTTCAAAGTTTGATGCGTTGCCACGGCAACAGTATCAGATATATCAAGAATCCATTCTCAGGTCTTCATCTGCCATGTATTTACATTATACAGATGAAGTTTGAAGCAAATCGGGTCAAAATAAAGGATGATTTAAAGCATTTGGAAAGTGACACACTTCCTGCTGCCAGTTGGTGGCGCTATAACTTTGACTCACAATAGTCACATCCATGTGATCGGCCTCTTACAGCGAACACACTGCTGAAGTTTCATCAAGATCAGTTAATGTATGCTGAAGTTATAACACACTTCCTGTTTCACGTTTCTCGCCATAATTTTATTTCCTCGCCACGGCCAAACCGTTCGAGATATCAAAAATCCCCTCGCAAAATTTCATCCTCAGTTTCTTGACTTCATGCTGACCGAGTTTCGTGCCTGTGTGTTTGAATTCTCTAGGAGGAGTATTGCAAATTCCATTGTGTGTGTTTATGAACAACCCTAAATAACCGACTTCATGTCTAGCTGGGGTAAAAGTAAGAGGTGAGGTATATATGAAACGATGACATCAACATGTGTACGAGTTTTCATATTATTACATGCAAGCGTGTTTGATTTATGGACCAAGTTTTTGGACCCCCTTCCAGGGGGCGCTGTCTAGCCCCCCTGCCACGCCCAGGTACCATCTTCAGCCCGCGGCCTGATGCTGTGGGATCTGACCTGTATGCAAAGTTTCAAGAGTTTTCAAACCCGTTAAGGGCCCCAAAAGCCGCTAAGAGTCTCAAAATCATCAAAAAAAAGAATTTTAAAGTTTGATGCATGCCACGGCAACAGTATCAAAGATATCAAGAATCCATTCACAGGTCTTCATCTGCTATGTATTTACATTATACAGATTAAGTTTGAAGCAAATCGGGTAAAAATAAGAGGGTGATTTCAAAGCATTTTGAAAGTGACACACTTCCTGCTGACCAGTTGGTGGCGCTATAACTTTGACTCACAATAGTCACATCCATGTGAT